GCCAAGCCAGCCTCTTGATCAAGAGGCCAATCTGCCCAACCAAAGCCAGCCCAAAGTTGGGGCTATTCCGCCTGCAACCCCTGTTACAGTTGTGTCAGCCCCCACGATCATGGCGAAAGCGCCCGGGTCTGCCATGCCTCCCCCCGCAGGCCCACCTCCCAGGCGAGCTGCTAGCACTGCCAGCTTGGAGTCGTCAGCCATCCTGCTGATGATGCTGCGCTGGCCTCCTCCGAGGGAAGTGGGGATGAGATGGATGCAGAAGCCCTTGCCGAAGCTGGACTTTTTAGACCCATAAATAATACACTTAAAACGATTGGCCCTCAACCCCTTCTAAATCTGAAAGCCCCCCTAGAACTATCGAGCCCAGCTAAGAATCGCCGTGCTCGCAGAGCTGCGCGGATGAGGTTCAACCGCTCATTCAGAAGCTCATACCTTGGATTGCATGTTTTAGGCTTGCTGCAATTGCAATGGCTTTTTTGGGGTTGGGGGGAACTAAATTCTTAAGTTGCACGTATTAAGGTCCTACGTGTCCGCCCGCTGTGCTGGAAGCGCATGCGCAATGCATTCTTCCCAACGGTGCTTGAGCTTTCACTTATTGCATTTGCTGTTCTAGGTTTCTTCTGGCTAGGGTGGCTAGGTTTAACATCTAACCATTAAGCTTCCATTCCTGCTCATCCGGAGGTGCCGTGAACCAGGACAGGTTGAGGGAGCTCTTCCAACAGTACATCAATGCTGGCGAGAACTGGGGGGACACGGAGATTGTTGCTGCTTGGGAGACTCGTGTAGCCCGCCGAGATCTCGGAGAGCATGCTTGGCTGGACAAGAAGGCCATATCTAGATATGGCGGAGCTTCAGTGCTTCTAGGGGGTTCTAGGCCTTTATTGCTTTCCAACGCTGTCATTCCTGAAGACTCACTCCCATGCAAGCCCCTACAACCTTCATCCTTACGCGCAGGCCCTCCTGGAGAAGTACTCCCCAAGTGCTGTCGCAGAATTGATTGAGAAGAAGGCTATTTGAGTCTTGTCCTTTAATTTGCTTGGCCATTATTTGATTAAAATTTACGTAAATAGATGATTGCAGGTTCGGGATGGACAATGCCGCGACAATCCAGACTTTCCTGGAAGTGAGGCCCGATTGCTAGTCCACGTGCCTGAAATGAATCCTATACCCTTGAACCCCTGAGCCAAACACCCTAAATGCAATAGATCGATTGATCTAATATGCGCAGGGTTTAGGGCTTATAAGGGTTTATACGAATAAGGTTTTAGGCATGCCTGTGCCAGGAGCACCGGCTCTACAGGGTGTGGCTGTCAACCCGGGAGACTGATGAAAGCTTTCACGGCCGCAGGCTTACCTATGAAAGGCGCGGAGATGCCCCCAACCCCCCAGGACCAGATGCTGGCGCAGGGGGCGCCGCATCAGCAAAGAGTCTGCCTGCTGGCTTTGGCGGTTCGCCCGTTCCGGGAACAAAAGCTACCCCAAAGGGCAAGCATGGTAAAGCTCCAAACCCCAAGCCTCCTGGCCCTGCGAACCCCAAGCAGCATGGTGCGTCTGGCAAAACTCCAGAGCAGGCAGCCAAGGCTGAAGCTAGACTGCGCTACATGGATCATTTCAGTTGACCACTTCTGTTATTTTGCATGAGCTGAGGCCATGGTGGCTGCCAATGCTAATATCCTGGAGGCTAATGGTTTCCGACATCGGCTCACGATCAATGGTGTGGCCCCAGCTTTGATTGAAGCGCTGGTGTCAGACATGGATGCCAGCGCTACGAAGATCAAGGAGGCCCGCCAAGCTGTGGAGGCAGGATATTCATTAAATGTACCGGTATAGCTAAGGGTTTAAGGTTTATAGGATTTGAAACTAGGGTTTGTATACAGGTAATAAATACGCTTATTATATAATGATAGCACAGGGTTTACGGTTTATAGGAGTTGAGGTTTAGAATATTATAGCTATTAGGGCGCAATTTGCTCATTCCCTGACGCAGGATGCCTATGCCACAGGCTTGAAGGGGGACGCCCTAATGCAGCTAGCAAAATCCCTCAGCAACGCCAATATCATCTACAAGGATCAGAGTAAACATTGCAAAATGCACTGCCAGCCTGCTAACAAGCCAAAGGCAAAAGGCAAGGCGAAGGCCGCTGCCAAGGCAACGTCGTAGACGCTGCCCCATTTGGGGAAGCCTGAGCTTCCAGTTTTGATGATGATTGCACGGCAGCATCAATTGTAGGTATCCTCCGTATCCGGTAGGAACAGGCCGTGAGCATGCATAGCGTGGGAAGCCTAGCAGGCCCTACCCGAACATGCTGATAACGCGCAGCTAGCGTAGCTACCACATAATCCAGATTCTGCCAGCGGCGAATGCTATGCGTTGCTAGGAACATGGCCTGGGGTCAGAGGTTGAAATCGGATTTCTCATGCTGCGTGATCGCGAGAGAAATAGTGCGCAGCTGGATTGTGGCTTGGGAATCGCAAACTTCGATCATGCCTAATCCTAATCTAACCCTAATCCTAATAAACCACCCGCGTCATGGTCTCAATGATCCATACCAAGGCCCGTTGGATGGCGCACACGGTGCGGCTGGGATGTGATCAGATTCTTGGATCGGCCTCGATCAGCTGCAGAAATGTTCGCGCATGTGCGATTAAGTAGAACAGCTCCTGCTCGGGTGTTTCTCATGATCATGATATCTATTCTGCCCTGCGTCAGATGAACACGCTTTCGCTCACTACCTTCTTTCCGAACTAGGTGGTGGTGCCGCTGGGAATAAAATAATCTTTAAAGGTTTCTGGGTTCTTTCCGTTTTTGTAGGGCCTTGAATCCCAATCATAAACCCTCAACCGTATCATATCCTTATAAACCCTGAATCCAAATGAGGCGACCTCAGCGAAACATCTACAATCTGCTGCGGCTGCCATGGTTCGTGAGTCCAGAGGCCATGCCTCTGAGCTCACAAAAAAGATAGCCCAGGCAGGGGCCTGCGGCCGCTTTCCGAACAATGTGGAACGAGATATATGCCGGGCTCTAAAGCTGCCCTTGGACTCTAGGCCTGTTTCAGCATCATATCTGCAAATGTACATCTAGGCCTTCATGAGGACCCACACCCTGAAAGACCGCTGAGCCACAAACCAAAAACCTATCGCAAGAATAACCCACTTGAACCTCCAGGCCCTATAATCATCTCAAAAATTCCAAGCCAGCAGTGCAACAAAATGATTGACACTGATGTTAAGCATTTTCACAATTGAAATTGATCTAGCGCAGGACCTACATCATATTGAGATTCCTGTTAAGCTGGCATCCCAGCGGCGTGGTCGGGAAATGCTGCGTCTGCCATTCCTCATGCCGCACGAACTAATTCATTATCTCTATGCCGCTTGGTGTCCAAACTGATGATTCGTAAGAGCAGCTTAGTCCTTTAATTTGGCAATATAGCTATACATGTATGTATTTTAATTCAATGGGTCCGTAAGTAGCTAAGGATACGCGCAAGCTTCAAATAGATCGGGCGGCCAATGCCGAGTATTGGCAGCACGTGACAACGCATTGCAAATGGGCCCATGCGCACCCGGGAGTTGGCTGCAACCCCTTGGGGTTGTATGGAGATGAGGCCAGATATAACAAATTTGGAGACAAAGTGATCCTGTGCCACCTCAATGCTTTGTTGGAAAATCGTGAAGGAACCTTACCATAATTATAGCTAGGGATTATTATAATCATTATTACAAGGTTGGTCTTAAGGGTCTAGGGCTTAGGGTTTATGTTTTCTAGCTACAAAAAACGGCTATCACGAGCAACATCTTTAAGAGGATGCAGCTAGCTACTGAGGAAAATCTGATCAGAGATTTCCGCTATGGACTTTGCGAGAGTGGATCAGTTTGGGCAGCGAAACCATCAACCCAATTATGCAAGTGATTACCTGGTCATTGAACGTGTGCTTCTTGGGTATACATCCCTCACATGACGTATTTGGGAATCCCTATAGAGGTCGTAGCCGTGCAGGAACACCAATATCAGGTCATGGTTCTGCGCAACTTCTAAAATTCCTGGCCCCTGCGCAAGGTTGACACCACTAAGTCACCACTATAAATCCGGAATCATCTTTGTCTAGATCTCTGTAGACAACAATGGCCCTTTCATCCGAATCCTGTTTATCCCTGTCATGATCAGGTGGGCAGCACGTCCTAGTGGAAACTCGCGGGGATTGGGCGTGGGCTCGCAGCTTCTGGGGCCTCAAGGCTCACTGGAATTGGAAATGCAAGGAGATGTGTCACATTTGCGGGGCACGAAACGAAGGAGAGGATTCGTGACTTTATGGGAATAATTATGCATCATTTTGATCGAGATTATGAATGATCCTCGACAGTAATACCTGCAGGGTTTAGGGTTGAGGGTTTAAGATTTTGAAGGGTAATGATTCCAGAACCTGTCACTAAGGTGGCACAACTGCCTGACCAGACGCTTTGATCGGCGGAGCGACCACAACATCATCCAGGAAGTTATGAAGCCATCAGCCTGAGTTCATCATTAATTTCTGTTTCGGAGAGCTATCAGGGAATTCTGTTGATTGTGTTTGTCCTTTTCTGAATACAGGCGCCCGGCCAATCCTCTGATACTGATGCCTGGCTTTCGGCCATCTGGTGCCATTAAATGGTGCTCGATGCATGTGTTGAATCTGGGGCTGCTGCAGACCCTCAATGGTTCGATAGTGTCCATGTTGCTTGGGAAAAGACTCTATATTCAAGCCCCAGTAACATTTTTCTTCGATTATATATGACAGCGCCTGAATTCCAAACAGATCGTTGGAAGCTCCTATGATTCACCAGGATATTTCGGTGATCTACCTGAAGAAGCTGCCCTCACTGAAATGTACAACAGATTCAAGAGTTGGGCTTCTGGAAACCGTGTGCAACACTCCCAGGGGCCTTTCAGTGGTCTGTTCACTCGCGACCCATTTCCGTTGTTGGCTCTCAAGGCCTTTAATGGGCGCATCTTTGTGATGTTCCTAGAGCGATGCCTGGAGATTTTGAAGCGGGGAGACGAAACAAGGGAAGTTTTTGCAGCCCACGCTGCCTGCGTTGCAATTTGTTGCTGGTTTGATCATGTCGAAAGAGCCCCCCGCTACTTATCAGATGAGCAAGTGACTGGTATAACCAAAGCTGGCACTACTTTCTTGAGGGCTATCGAACTCCTGGCCAGAATTGGGGTCGCAGAGCAGAAGGCAAGGTGGAAGCTTTTGCCGAAGGCACACGCAACTTGGATGCTGAAAATGGCTCTGCTGTTACTCTTTAAATCCTGAAACCAAAGCCCCCCTCAAAATCCTATACCTGAACCCAGATCTATAAAGCCCATGATCCCGGAGTAAGGCAATGGCCCACATCATTGAAGATCAGCATGAAGAAAAATACAACAGTCGCTTTTATCACTGCTATGCCGATGAAGATGCTATCGGACAATGGAAAAAACTCGTCATTCGGGTCAACAAGTCTTTACTCGAATTTCGCTGCCTCAGCAGGTGGCTTCTGCAACTGAAGGTTTCCTGATCACATGTTGTGCCCGGGCGGAGTATATATATACTAGATCTACGACCTCGATAGTTTAACTTGCAGATGTGCGACTCACGGGCACAGCAGCCGCAACCGAACCAGCGCAGTTCGAAGGCAAATGGCGCATTGCCACTTTAGGGGTTTAAGGGTTATATTTATCAGAGTTTAGGGTCTAGGGTTAATAGTGCAACCAGGATTCGATTTTCGGTATGTGGATCCCAAATCGGCCCAGTAGAAATTACGAATATATACTTGGGCTCCATACTCCTGTAACTTCAACCTTTCCAAACCCCGGTATAAGCACCAATCTTAATGATTGACAAAGCTGTACCCATGTCCCTTGAAGTTTTCTGAGCTGTTTGGGACTGGCGTGTAAAGGTTCAGGTCATGGCGGTCATGATTTTACAACATAATAATCCATACAAAATATGATGGAGAAGGGTGTCTGCAGTCATGATCGGAACACCAACAGCAGCCAGACAACTGCCCATAGAGGCCAAGGAGATCTCCGTAGTTTACCCCTGGGCTTCCGTAAAACTGTGTATTTGAATGACCCCAAAAATCGTCGTCATTGGACTTTAGAAGGGTAATGTGTGCATTTTTTGTGATCGGAGCCGAATGATGGCATTATTTGCCTACATTGGATCGCCAGGGTATCTCCCAGAGAACCCCCTAACGAATGTTGTACCATGACTAGATATGACGAGGAATATTTACTGCTTCGGGGATGTGTGGTGGACACAGATTAGTAACTTGAACCCAAATCTCCTTGTGGACCTCTAAGCCAAAAACCCTTGACCGCGAGCCTAAACCCCTATATAACCCCTATATAACCCCTATATAATCCCTATATAATCCCTATATACTCCTCAATCCTAACCGACAACCCTAAACCTTGTTGGCTTCAACTCTTTTTTGTAGACCTTCGTTGCTCACGTCACGTCGGCAGATTGGTCGGGCGTCTCTCTCTTAAATGACGTCGGGCTCATTCCATCACAGGATGAAAAATTGGGGTGGCTCAGATTTGCTCATGCTAAGTAGGGTCTGGAGGAATGGATCCATTCGTCGTGCTCAATGTATCTCCCACAAGAACTTCTACAATCCACTCACCCAACCCTAAACTAAACCCTATAGAACCTGACATTCCTCCGTTCCCTACTTTGCACTAGGGGGCGGACTTGCTCTTGTGCTCTAGCGAGCTCAGCGGCCGTAGCCGCCCTTGGTGGGAATGTCCTCCTCGGTTGGTTTAGAGGGTTTAGGGCTTGGGATTTGGGTGGGCTTGGGCGTTCAAATCAAAGGAATTCTAAATGGGTAGTTACCAGGTGGGTACCCTTGTACACAGGGGGGGGTAGTTACCGGGTGGGTACCCTTGTATAAGGTTTACATTCGGCTTACCTGGGGGCACTGGGACTACATCAAGGATATGTCAGGCTTATTTCGGGGAAACTACTCACCTGAAACTTCATTAGATCAGAGGCATGTACAAAACGCTAGGTCCGAATTAAAGGGGCCCTAAACCCAAAAATGTATTTGGACATGGGAAACCGGGCTCCAACAAACAACCGCCCTGGGATGTTCCAAGCCCTTCTGAAAACCGCTGGCTGCTCTGCGTGCCTGGTCTTAGGTAGGTATACTGAGAGACAACAGGGTTATCTACAATAAGGGTTGTAGGATATTCTGGTTATGACTTGGGCTTTTCCCTTCCTAGCTGTATGCTGACCTGATTCATACAGAGGTTTATTCACGCAGTCAGAACTGTGGAGTCTTTGTGCTGTCTCCGAGAGGAGACTTTTGAGACAGTTTGATTCAAGTATGGTGGCAACTTGCGCCCAAACTCCCATTATCATAGTATATACTAGTATGTTATAATATATTGTAGTATACTGTATTATCTATAACAATATATGGGGAACTGTCAAAATTATGGTCCCTTTTTGGGTCCCTATTATAATACGGGGCCTAATACGGGGCCTAATTTAGGGGACCCCAAAAGGGACCATAATTTTGACAATCACCCATATATGGTCAGATTCGCTAGGCAGTTGCTGGGTCAGAGCTCGAATTCTTAAGAGGCCAAGCTGCACCCCATCCGGCAGTGCCACCGTTGCCCGAGTAGCCTTAGGGTTTAGGGTTTAGGGTTTTAGGGTTTGGGGTTTTAGGGTTTAGGGTTTAGGGTTTAGGCTGGGCATTCATGGATCTGCCGCCTTTATCGGAGAAAGCAGGCTACGTGTACGATCATCACTCGTATTCTACTGACTGATCCTCATGTTAATGGCTCAGCTCTTGGCACCCAAAATACAACACCCCCTTCCCAACTTTATGTGCCCAACATAATGCCGTTATATCATGGAGGTAGTCGTTATTGTGAAGAGGTGGGGCGGGGGTTGTTATGGGGGCTGTGAAGTACCGGTTGGTCCCTCTGTGCTTGGCCAGGGACGAGATTGTATGGAGCGTTTAAGTATTCATCAGAAAGTACCCAACGCCGTAACAGTCGAAGCGGAATGGGATTGCGCAATCAGTGGAATAGGCGCTACTTTTTTCATAACGGCTGAGAAAGTCGGCCCTCTCACGTTTCCAGACAGAAGCCTGGGAAGCCACATAGGCTCGTCTGTGAACTCAAAGGACAGCAGTCTGAGTAGTGACTAGTCTTGATGGCAAGATCTCGATATGCAAAATCCTGCGCGACCTCAGTGTAATGCAATCCAATGATTCCATAAGTTTAGGGTACAAATCGCCGCACGCAGGATTTCCAACGTCCCCAAAACCCAACCCCTGAACCCAACCGCAGGGCAATTTTTTTGCTGTGTGGTTCTGGGAAAGTAGTCATGCAGCAATGTCGGTAAGCCTTTGCCTTTGCACCCTCATATTTGGGGGGGGGCGGGGGATAATATGGTGGTGATGTAGGGATAATGGAAAAGAACATGGAAACTACAATAATAGGGTAATAAACCCTAAACCCTAAACCCTCTATAACCTATTATAGTAGTTTTCATTTCATTTTCCATTATCCCCATATAACCCCACTATTAGGGTTTAGGGTTAAGGGATTTGGGGTTTTAGGCTTTAGGGTTCTCACCCTACACTCCAGATCCTGAAGCCCAGGGCTTGGGGAAGCCCAAACCTTTAGACCCGCAAGGGTTTAGGGTTTAGGGTATGTAGCATATGCTTGGGGCTAAAGTGGGTGAATCGGGGCCTTTGTAGGTTTAGGGGCATATCCCATATGCGCTATAATCTAACTTTTAGCATCTCCTTTAGTAACCCGCTATAGTAGTCCCCCATATAGTCCCTTGTATAACCACCTTTTAAAAAGTTTAGAATATAGGTATCTGGACGCTGTGGGCACTCTGAAGCCTCCAAAGTCTGAAGCCCTAACCCTACACCCCAAGCCTTAAAAAGCCCTAAGCCCTAAATCCTAAAGAAACACTAAGCGCTAAACCCTAAACGTTTCAACCTTACACTCCCAACCCAAAACCCTTGACATTCTGCACCCTTAGAACAGGGTTTTAGGGTTTAGGTTAGGTGGACCCCCCACCCCCGTAATAGTGACTGCAAGGGAATAATAGAGAGTATATTAGGGTCCTCTTATATTCCTATCTTACCACTATTACAGGGTGGGGGGGGTCCTCCTAAGGTATATGGTACAAGGACCTTCGATGCAGAACCTTCTTGGGCATCAAAAGACATCCTTTCCCTGGCTCTACCAGTAAATCTTACCGAACAGACCCAACATGAAACATCATATGAACCATTGTCTAAACTCCTAGTATCCCCCTTAATAACCCCTGTAGGAGTCCCGTATATAATCCCCTATATAACCCCCCTATAAGGAGTTTAGACTATAGCTCATATCACGGTCCAAGACAACCCATGAACCTACCAAAAACTAAGCCTGTACGCCCGAATCCCGTAAACCTTCAAGCCCCCAAACACAGCACGGAATATGAATATAGCCCTTGAATAAGGTATTCGGGACCCAAATCCTAAGGTTACAAAATAACCTTGAGGGTACAAACTTCAAGTCTCTAACTAAACTAACTTACCATACTTTGGGTATATCGTAAATAATAAGGTTGCCTTGTTATGGTAACTTCACCTGAGTTCCTTGAATCCCTATATTGCCCCAGTTTCCATTTAATTTCCCATTTTCTTCTCCATTATAGGGAGAGAATGTAGTAACCCAAATCCCCATATACCCTATATAACCCCATAAGAGTAGCTTCCTTTTTTTTTGTATTTTCCCTTATTCCATATAACACAAACATATCTCTATATACCCTATAATAAGTACCCCTATATAAGTTCCTGGTTATGGTAACCTAGCCTGAGTTCCTAAACTCATCGCAACCCCTCCTAAATCCTAGTCCCATGAGCCCAAATTTGCTCCTTGGATTTAGGCTTCCTTTTCTTGTAGCTCAAGTGCCCTAAACCCTAAACCGCGTGGATCCTACTTGCTCCCTCTGCCCTGGAACCCTCCCACCAAACAATTTTACCCGCTCATGGGTGGGGGCTTATCTTACTGAGGGCTAGTAGAAAATGTAGGCATAGATGTTATAGGGGCTAGATAGGGATTAAGTTCCTTTATTCCCTAGTAATCCGTAATTAAGCAACAGTAAGTTATTCCATTTTGCCAGACATCGGTATTTAATTGCAGCTAAAGCCGCCCTCAGGGCGCTCGGAAGCAATGGAGAAGGGGCCCGCACCACCACGGAAAGCCTAGCTTTAGGGCCTTTATGGATCTTGAGGGTTGTCCACGGTTATATAGAGTCCCATCAAGTTTATGTAGGGGTTTAGGGGGTTGGGACTTAAGAAATTAGAGTCGAAATTTCTGGGTTGCAGGGTCTTGAGAGAAGAGTGTGCGGGATTTAGGGTTAAGGGACTAAGGGGGTCAGAGTTCACGCCTGACTGCTAGGGGTTTTAGGGCCTAATTGCTTCTACAGCGTGGACACTAAAAACCCTAAACCCGAAACTC